TCGATTTATAGAAGTGGGTTGACCTCGTTGTCGCAACTTGGTCTTGTTGTCAGGGCGACTATGTAGAACTATGTATGTCAAAGAGACAAGAGTTCGTAGCTTGGTGCTGAGAATGGCAAAGCTCACTGATGATGCCGACTACGATGCCGGCGAAACGTTTGAAAATGTATCAATCCCACTGTCAGATGCTGGAAATCATGACAACTACTATGGCAGACGACGTCGGACTAGGCGCGTTCTACATAGTCCCCCTGACAACAAGACCAAGTTGCGACAACAAGGTCAATCCACTTCGATGGGTTAATTTAACAAGAATATCAGGCTTATATAAGATGATAGTATGCCTGTTTAATCAGAGTAACATGGATACTTTAAATGAGACCACAACCAAGATCTTCTTATGCTTGTATTACTATGAAAGTGTCTACACATTGAGCACCAAAGTCTCTCGGAGGGGTTTGCTACTCTTGGTCAGCAAGAAGAAAAACCTAAAGTATAGGATTTATCTTGAGTTGTACAGCTATTTTATCATAGAGTTTGCGAAATTTTCTTACAAATTTTACTAGTCTTGCCAAAAACTTTTTCGAAAGATTTAGGATAAAGAAGTACGGAATCCAGTTAATTTCAATGGTGATGATCAAAGACAAAATTCAAATCCAAATATTGGATTTGGAATGTTGGCACCAATAATGCGTATAGCATTTGTGACTATACAGGAAAAAGGATAGAAAATTAGATGATTTATCGAAACACATGCAGATAAATCTCCAGGAGAACGTTAAAATGGAAGAGAGAGAGATGTAGACAAGTAGATTTATAGATGTATTGAGGTGTTTTAATGGATTTATAAATATGAATCTGGTTGAATTATTGACCAAAATAATGTTAGATAGATAGATTAATAGATATTTGTATAGGGGAAAAGCTGGATAATTTCATATAAAGGAAAGTAGTTATGTTGGTAGGTATGCCGAAAGTATACTCAAAATAGCAAAAGAACCATTCGGATCTATTGTCAATCTTGGTTACCTCAATTTTTCACTTACTATAGTAACCTGAAGCAACATGCATATCCTCTTGAGTATGGTCATGGTAACGTAGTTGCGATTCAAAGATTCTCTTAAAATTCCTAAGCTCGCCTGTCAATTCAAATTGAATAACAATATGAAAGAATATTTCTCCATCGTAGCTACCTCGAAGCAATACGACGGGGATGTTCTCCTTATTGAGGCATCGAAACGTCAAAATCTGCTTGTAGTTCAGCCGTGATTCCAACAATTTAGGGGCTGTTTCTTCCAGAGGCTGCAAAGAAAAGTATGAATTGTAACAGCACATATGATATTGGCCGAACAGGTTTTCCCTGTAACACTGATAAACGGCACTCAATAGGCTCCCTTTATCCATTCTGGCGTTGGGACCGAGTTCAGGATGCGAAAGCAGCAAAACGTTGGAGGAAAAGATCCATTCCGTATTGCCCTCGACTTTGTGAAACATTAGGGAGGGAGTGCTCTGCGCCCTGACCGTCAGTGTCGGCCGGGACAAAGTGTTTGCCCCAGACATCGTCTGTGTTCCCCGTCTCTGCGAGCCTATCGTAGAGAGTTCGTAGTTTGGGGTCGTCTCATAGACGACGACATTACCCGCGTGAAGTTGTCCTGCTGAACTAGACACGCCATAGATTTCAGGCCGAGCGCTGGTTAGGTGGTAGTTTCTGTATTTAGAGTGTTGCGAAAGCAGTCTTATCAGATTGTCGCGCGCCTCACTCGTAGAAAATAGAATAAAGTCATAGATCAGATTTTCAGGCGTCTCAGTTGCCAGGACAGCAAGGTAAGAGTAGCTGGCAAACTTGTAGACCTCAAGAATTGTAGACAGGAGAATCTCTGACCAAGGCAGCATAGCCTTCTTGTTTCGGACCTTAAGCAAGAGACGGTCGGACAATACGTACAGTGTAAAGTTGCCCAGTGATTTTGAGTTTAGCGCTCTTTCTAACAGGTAGCTGGCCTCTTCGGCAGAACACATGTGATCCCCTGGGAAGATGGAACGATGCTTGATCTGTACATTCGCCTTGAAATCGCCCATTGGAACATTCTTTGATTGCTTCATGGCAGCCTGGAGGAATCGGACTAGACCGCCACCACTACTATTACGATACAGTAGTTTGGAGACGCTTGAGATCAGACAAGGCAGATGAGCGCAATCAGATTGATTTCTCTTGAGCAGCCCACAAAGAGATCCACTTAACGCAGAAAAAACGCCTATCTGCTAGGGTACCGATGCGTGCTGATACGCGTATATGAATTTTCTTTTGTGTGGTCTCTATAAAGGCACTTACTAGACACCTAAGCCTACCCCATACCAAGAGTTTACTGACGGAGATGAATAACCAAACTTTTTCTATCCTGATGTGTTGCCAACTCTCTAGGAATAAGCATATTTTGCCTGAAGCCAGGGGCTCAACGATAGCAGATTCCTCGAAAAAGTCAGCCAGCATGCCAAGCGTGAAGTCTAGGTCCCGCGCTTGCGCATACACCCATATGCTCATGCACAGACACATGTTTACAACCATAAAAGCAGTCGCACACATGTATGCCAAAACATATTGCTTTTTTATCTCATTTATAGACGAGCGTGTTAATTGGGACCAAGCAAATATGCAAGCAGAATTTTCCTTATTTATGTATCATGCTAACTTAACAATGACGTAGGTTTCATTAAATAGTGGGTGGCCCATGCCTATTTAGTACTTTGTCGCAAGTTCCTACTTTATGGCTATATATGCCGTCATAACTTTGCCAAACAAATGAGGAAATTGGTTGTGCAGTGACTTTTTCTTCCGAAGAAAAATAGGTTGGAAGGAACTTATAAATTTTTCTCACTGAAAAACGAAGTGGGGTTGCCTTGGCGTGAAGTCTATTGGATTGTACGAAGAAGACTCGGCTCACCGCCCAGCGACTCTGATGAACGTTAAGTCGAGGCGTTCTTCGTACACTCCAATAGTCTTTACTCTGAGGCAATCCTCCTCCGTTTTCCGGAGAGACCAATTCACAAATTCTTACCAGCCAATTTAACCTTTGAAATGAAATTGTAAGCCATAATAAATCACTCAGAGGCTACTTGAAACCCAGCTCTTCTCATATATGGGAGAATACTGGTGTCTGTTTGATTCAATATCTACAAAATTTTACCCTTTTATTAGTTTACTCTTTAAGGAATTTATTCAAAATAATTTTATAATCAGATTTCTGCTCTCGTTATTCGAGCGAATGATCCTATCTGCCCCACAATACTGCGAGTTAGTAGAATTGCCTAATTCGATATTAAAAGACTTGAATAGGCAGAAGTTAGGCGGAAGTTAGGCAGAAACTTGAGATGGGTGAAATTCCCACTGGCCAGTTAATCGGCATGGCGTTTATATCGAGTAATAAGTTTAAATAACTTTTTACGGATACAAAATAGTGCCATATTTAAAGTTTCACAAAGACTTTCTAAAATGGAAGACTCTTCATTGATCCCCTTATTAGTTTGAACGCTACAGGTGGCGCAAAGACAGTATATTACATTAAAGCAATTATTTGCTTTCTACATACTCCTGCTTACAAATGCAAGCAGATTGCGAGATATAGTTTTCGTTGCCGTTTGGATGCACGAAAACCATTCTCATCAGAGGTAATTTTCTCAATCTCATTCGATTTAATAGATGTTGGGTGTATTTTGAAGTCTGTTTATAGATTTGATTAGTATTCCTCTCAGAAACGGTGTACCATATTAGTGTTGTATTATAAATAGGTTAGGGATCATCTTGTTCCGCAATAAACTTAAGAAAAGGGTATTGCTTGAGATACTATGGGAATTCATAGGTTGCATGTACTAGGAAATCGCATAGAGGGCATCTAGATTCTGCAAGCTGCTAGTGCCATGCGTCTTCATGTCGTAACCACCTTAGATCCTTTTAGTAACCTAGCAATGAATGGATTATCCTCTAAGTGAGTCATTCGCTATATTTTCTTAGAAACTGTTACTCACACCGCAATAGTAACAATTACAGAAAGAGGAATGATAGTGCAACCGTTTCGGCAGAAAGTTAGTCAAGGGATTGACGAGATTTAGCAGGACTTACCGACGATACCAACTACGATGCTGGCTAAGCGTCTGAGACTCTACCAAGTTCACGGTCAGACACTAACTACTAGGGCAGAGCATCTCGGACAAGATGCTTCCAACTATGTCTGCCTGATAACACGAACAAGTTGCAAAAATGAGGTCAGGCCACAATTAAAATACCAGTTTGACCTCGTCTTCACAACTTGGTAGGAAGGACAGGGAGATATTGTGGCGCGCAACTAGTCCTGAGTCCTCTGCCATAGTGTTCATGATAATTTCCCTCATCGGACCGTTGACTTGGTAGATCCCAAGACGTTTTGCTGCAACTGTCAGTGAGAGACGCCATGTCTAGCGAAGAGTTACACCTTACCCTTATGACAAATCAGTCATAAAATCGATATCGATTTAAGACACTTCAAAGCGCTAAATACCGCCAACATAAAGTAAATCCGGCGTGTTTTCCTGCAAAGCGTGACAAAGATTAATTGAGAATATAAGGAAGTGATTGGATGTCCCATTAAAGTACAGGAACAGGTTTATTACGAAGCAATG